ATGCGATTTTTATGATTAAAAATCGGATTAAAATCGTGCCATTTTAATCGATTATTAATCAGAAAAAAATCGATTAAAATCTGATTTTTCCCGTCATTTTTTTTACATGGGTGAGCGTCGCTTGGATCTAATCCATCGAGAAATAGTCAACAAAAAACATAGTTAGCCTCGTATACTTACTTGAGAAGCTAAAATCACCACGAAATGATATTTTACAAAGATAATGAAAATATTTTTACATACTTCAAAATCATCACCAATAATACACATGTCGCCCACTTCATTCTTATCTATTTCGTTATTTACTTGTTCTCACCTTGCTCAAAGCTATATATAATAGACTCCTTACAATCTGCAAAATTTCATAAAGCATGATGATAATTGTTTGCTATTTGTTTTTTTGGCATCACCATTCTAGATCTTGACTCATGACAAGATTACAGCACAGCAACTTTTTAAAGAATTTGTTGTGACATTTTCATCTTGACTTATCAATATTACGTAGCAAATTGAGTGAAATACATTTCGATCATCGATCTTTGTTATTCGCAATTTATTGATCGGACTCATATTCAAACAATTTCTAATAATAGAAGAAAAAAAAATCATTTTTGAATTGAACATTGCCGTTTCTTGAGAGTCGAGATTTCAAAATAAACGAGCATCACAATTGAAGACTTTTTATATTCTTTCAAATCAATGAATTTCGCAGGAAAATGTTTCGAAACAATTGGAAATAGTCATATGAAGATCGACGTGTTTCTATTTGATTGATGAAATATGTTTTAAACAACTCTCTTAGAAAATAAACATTCGTCAAAACGGAATGATCATTTAGACAGATTTATTTTCTAGGAATATCAAAATTGAATATTTAAAAAAAATGGTTTGTTGAATTCATTGTAACATTGCTGATTGCGATATTTTTGAGAACCAAATTTAACTTGAACGATGGTTTCAGTAAAACCAGATTGATAAAGTTCATCAAACATTGAGTTATGAAGAATCAATTCGTTGATGTTCTTGCCTAATTGGCCTTGATCGAACTATTCAATCGAAAATGCATTAAACATTTCGATTGAATAGTGTGAATATAGAGGCAGGTATTTCATTCATTGATCGATGTCGACTATTTCTTTTTTCTTTCACTTATTCAATATGTCACCAAGAAAAAGAAAACATTTCTCTTTTTGTTCGAATTAATGTGTCATATCAGTGCGTATTCACCACGAACAAACCACGTTTACATTGACGAAAGGCACCAGTGATGAGATCTTTCTGGAATTATGAAACACTCCATAACAGCACCGATGCAGAACTAGAAATGTCTCTAATTTCCTGTCCGATTGACTATGGTATTCCTATCGAAATTTCACCTGTACGTATAGGCAAGTTTTGATGTTGGATCTGATTATTGAAAGATAAGTAGTATTGAGATTAAATTTTTTTTCGCAATAGCTGATGAAAGATGCTACCATCAACTATCTTATGTATTTATGGATAAATACGTAAGATCATCAATCGGAATATCTCATATCGGCTAGTATGCAAAAGACTTCTAAAAGCATCAATAGATTTAAATATATTTGAATATAGTTTACGTTCAGTAGTTAGAAGTGCAAAAATTCCTGTTTTAATAATCTCAATTGTCATTTCAACAATCGACGAAGAAACAAGTTGAGTATTCGAAAGAATAAAAATTTTGTCCGATATTTGTATATCTTTAACAGGGTTATTAATAGGTTTTCTATTTAATGAAGCAACAACAATTAAATGATATGATGTTAGATTCAATTAATGATTCGGTTTGGTTTTTAGAGTGTGAAACATAGCTAAAGACTTCATATCATTGGGAAATGACGTACTCTATAGACTCTGAGAATATAGTGGCAGTCCATAAAGTATAATACATTGAACATTAACCATAGATTCTCACTTTCTTTAATATTGTCATTAAGTTTTATAATTTTGTTGTCATATATGGTTTTGATGGAAAACAGACAATTTGAATGATTAAAAAAGTATTTATCTAATTCTAATAATAAATTAATCGAAATTATATGTGACCAGAATATCAAACGATCTATGAATACTCTTTCACTGAAAATCTAAAATCCCTCTTTGAGTTATGTATCAAAATGGGTAGCATAACTTCCGACGAAAAGTACTCTAGAAATGGGATCTCACTATTTTTTTTAAGCATATAAACAATCATCAAGTGATAAACACCCACAATATCCACTAACATGTAGGTGCTAAAAATTGATATATCAAATAATTTATATACAGTTCTGCCCTGTTCTGCAAGGCAGAGCAGGACACTGTTGCAAACGGTAACGGAGAATGATTGGTTCGATTCTGTAGACAAAAGATTTTCTGTACCGATAGATCTAGATTTTTCCGCGGTTATATATCTGTTTTTTGAAAAAATTGATCATAAAGGCATTTTTTTTTTCGCATATCGAATCAGTCTTGTTTTGTCAGTGACTATTTCTACTAAGCGAATGCTTCTCAAAATACGTTTAACTTATTTTATAAAGACACTTTGATATCAAGTTACATTATGGAAATAAAATGGAATTGCTGTTCATCATTTTAATTTATAACATTTTAATTTTGTATTACTTATAGAATATCTTTCGCAGACTAAAGAGTTAGCAAATGTGAGCGTTATTGCTTCAATGCAAGTGTATGAAGTGACGTTTCACATTCACATCCACGCCATAGCCTACAAGCTTGACTTGTCAATTTGATTATTTTTTTTTGAGGAGTATGAAGAAGAGATTTCATCAATTTTAGTACATACGAAAACATGCGTGGATACTTTTGAGAGGAAAAAAGTCTAATCCCTATATCCTGTAGTTGCTGTTACTCTTTTGAAATCATCACTCACTTCAACAATCACTAATACTTCATGTGCAAACGACAAAAAGAAGAAGTCATATGTTTGTAGCATGAAGAAAAATAGCAATAGAATTTTTATGAACACGTATCATTATAATATTCATCATTAAATTTGAACAAAACATCACGTTTTAAAAACAAGCAAGTATAATCACCCTCAACCAGTACAAAAAATATACAAGTTCTATGAACAACAATAAAAGCAACAGAGTTAGGCGGCTTATTAAATTTTTTCTTAAACAGAGAAGATAAAGATAGATTATTTGAAAGACAAAAACAAACCATTAGAACGCACTTGTTTATGTACAAGGCTGGTCTCGAAAAATACATAATATACATTTGAAAAACTACTTATTTTTGTCGATAGAAATATTTTGTAGAAACAAAAACCGGATTTGAAGACTGACTATCGACATTATTTGAAGTCGATGTTGAACTTGTTGATGATTCAGTAGATAATGAACGTGTTAATGGATCATGATAATAGGATTGAATATTTTGATTGAGATTATTTTCCCATGTAAATGTCGATTGTAATGATCTTGGAGATGAAGGAATATAGATTGAATTTTGACGTTGAAGTTTTTTCTTCTGTGATGAGATCATTGGTGCATGGAAACAATTTTGATCATGAGAATTTTGTCGTCGCTAAAATCAAACAAATTTGAAATTTATTTTTCATATGATTATTTTCAAAAGAAAACATTTATCACCTTTTTTGTTAGAATTGCTTTTCAATATAATTTAGTATTTTAGTTAGCAATAATTAATTAGAAAAGGATAAAAAATTAAATAAGCGTGATCAAATATTTTTTTAAAGCACAAGCATATATGTTAGAAATGATTATTCTATTTGTTAATTTTGGTGTTTACCGAATATTGAATTTGTTTGCCACTTGTAGTATTATGATGAGGTGAACGAGGTGGTTCGGATGTAGTTTTACAAAGAGATTGATGAATAGGCTCGTCAGATGCCGATGCACATTTGATCAAAGATGAATTTGAAGTCTTTAAAGTGAAAAAAAAAAACAAGTTCTTATCACCATACCTAAACTATTCCTTTTCTTTTATCCTTCAAAAATTGCAATAATAAAGTATAGCCCGTCCAAAAAGTCCGTGCGTGTGACTGTTTTTTGAATAACTCGAGAACGCAAACAGCTAGAGAGCTGTAGCTTTCACCAATCGAAAGAGGAGAAGTTAGGGCGTCTTTTTCTCTGATAATGTATCAGACGAAATTCTTTTAAAACTGATCATTTTTGAAAAATATAGAAAAGAATGCATGAAAAT